AATGGCCTGAGTTTGTCAGATGAACTCATTCTCCAGCTGATTCGCCAAGTGAATCTGGAGACATGATGCCCCTTCCTGCAGAGGCAGGGCCAAGACGTCAAAGGTCAGAGGCGGCTATACGTTTCACCTGGTGGCCTCACATGAAGTTTAATCAAGCTATAAAATGCTCAGTGTCCAGTGTTGAAAGGACTCTTTCCGCCTGTGTGTGTGTGTGTGTGTGTGTGTGTGTGTGTGTGTGTGTGTGTGTGTGTGGAAACTAAAACTTCAAAGTTACTTGTTTTTTTATGTAAGATTAGCCATCATGCAAAACTTACTATGTCAAGTAGTTAATAAAATACACGTATTCCATGGAAGGGTTTTGTACATTTCAGTCCTTGCACATAACAAAGCAATTATAAACCCTGCATGGTCCTGAGAGTGATCTCCTTGGCTTCCGCAAGCTGCCAGTCCTGCCAGCATTTGGGGGGCTCATGTGTTGTAAATTCTTGAAGCTCTTTTAGCTGCAGTTTGGGCATCGGGTGAATCTTCTCCCTCTTCTTCGGTTTGTTTGTGTTTTAAAAACACGTCAGACTTCAAGAAACGGCTGTAGCTGTCGTACTTCATGAGGTTGAAGATCTAAGAGGAAAAAGAAAAAGAGTTTGCAGGATGAGGCCAATCGGGCTGTGAATCATCCTATCAGATATTTATTCAATACCCATTGTTGCCGAAGAATGCAAACACACGCACAGCACACTCAAAGAAAGCTAAAGTAAGTCAAGGGCTCGACAAGGCGTCATTTCCTGGATGTGTCTGGCCGCTATGAAATCATTTCAGTGGAATATAATAGCTTAGAGAGTCACATGAACAAATCTACCTTTATTTCCGGGGACGTAGAGATTCACACAATGCTGATTCATACACTTGTATCAAGAGGTCCTTGGAGAATCTCCACTTTATTAGGTAGATGATACAGGGATGTGTTTCTCCAGGAGCCTGAGATCATGGAATAGAAACCGTTCCTGTGTAGATGGTGATGTTGTAAAGGCCACACCATATCTGATTATGCTAATATTAAGACCCCCAGAAGTCTGGTATCCAGTATCTCAAACAAACCTGTTATTACGCCAAGAAACAGAATGGGGCTGATTCAATGCAGGGTAGAGAAGAAAAACTGCAGCCTTAGCCAGGAGAGGCCTCAGGAACAGGGCCCTAATTAAAGAAATAGCAGTCGGCTACAGAATGCAAACAGCGGCACACTCACACAGGCCCAGGAGCACATCTCTGGGAAAGAAAGGATTCTAAGGCGTGCTCGTCGGGTGCCAGAGAAGGACCCCCTGACGGAGCCGAAGTCCTCTGAGTAGAGGTCTCCCACCTGCCACACCACAGATCCTCCAAGAGTTGTCCTCTCTCTTCTTAGCCACAGTCCCTATTCCCAGTGTCCCCTTTCCCGCACGCCTACCCAATCCTATGCTACCCTCCTCCCTTTCCCTACAAAAGACGGGGGGGGGGGAGAAGGAGCAAAAAGGAAAGCATTTTCCACTGTTGGGGGGCACAGCCTCTTTTGAGAAAGCTCTCTGCATCTCTCAGGCCTTTTGACTGAACTTTCAGGATGTTCTACAGACTAAAAATCCACACTGCACCTGCTGCCTTCACTGACTGCGCTACCCTGGGCTCAACATGTGGAAAGTTCCAGAAGTGTCTAGAATGTCACTCACTGCCAGGTGGAGTTATCAAGTGGGTGGTAAACCCCTGACATCTTTTACACTTGTCCTTTTCCAACACGGACACCAACTATTTTGTAAATTAAATGTCTCATGGAGTCTATGGGCTCAGAACAGCTGCCTGGGGGTGGGAGAACTCCAACCTTCCACCATTACACCTTCATTTTCCCAAGAAGTCTTCAACCATAGGAGAGCCGCCTAAATCATTTTGCAATCAGCAGAGGCCACAACCCAGGGAAAGAGTTAGGACTTTGGTTTGTTTTTGTTTTTGTTTTTTCAACTATTAAACTGTTTGCCCTTCCCCGAGTGCCCTCCCCGTCTGGTCCAAGATCTCCAACTGCTGGGAAAGGCCACGCCTCCCCAAACCCCCAGCCGTTATCTACTTTGTGGCAATCTTGTAATCCTTGAACAATTTGCTGAGGTTGGGAGAAATCATTCACTAAAAAAAAAAAAAAAAACTCTCAGAAAGTACAAAAATCATTGCCAGAGGATGAGGAATGCCATTACCATTTCATGGCCTTCCACGAATGTGCCAAGCAGGTGTTACCATCCCTCACAACCTGCTTTATTCAGCCCTTCCAGGCACAAGAGCCCCCCAAAGGGAACTTGGAGATGCCCACCCAGCTCCAAGTCTGGAACGGATGCCCAGAGAGTGACTAACGAAGCCAGCTCCATGGTGCCCCTCCTGGCACCCAGCCCCGCACCCCCACACACACACACCAGGTCCACAGCAGATGGGACCCACCACTGCCAGCAGGATGCGGTTCGACCCAGGCGTCTGGTCGGAAGCCTGTGCGCGTGGGAGTGGAACATCCTGTTTGCCCGTAGTGGCTCGGAGGCTCACATTTCAAAGAGGGGAAGAAAAAAGGCCGGGGCTGGAGGCACCAGGGCCGGAGGAGGCGGGGGAGGGAGGGCTGAGGGGAAGGCTCAGGGGCTGGCAGGACCCTCTCAGCCTCCAGGAGATCCCAAGAGACTGCAGGCTCCTTCCTGGTGCCAGCAAACTCGAGGGGAGGGTGCTATGAACACTTTAACAAGAGCATAAGGGCTGCTCCCTGAATGAGCAGGTGTGGGATGCCCGTGAAGTCCTCCATCCTGGGGCATCCGTCTCCAGCAGCCCTCACTTCCTAATGCATCTCCTGATGCAGTGGAGTCACCCGGTGGCAGCTGCAGCCATCAGGCCTGGACTGATTTTCAAAAGGAAAGGGATGTTGTTCTCAATGGCCTTAATTTCTGGGGCTGTGAGCACCCTGATATCGACGGGCAAAGGGTCTCCTGGGCACTGGTCTAGGTGCACATGGTGATAGGGTGTTCTTATCACATGGCCCCTCTGGGGAGGTGCTCAGCAAAGATGACTTAGAAGACAGAGAATAGTCCTAAAAATCTCTCCAAGAAAGTGGCCAAAGATAGTGTACCCAGCTGCTGACCACTGCCTTATTGATTACAGGGCAAATGGCCATGACTAGGGTCCAATAAATGGTCACCCAGTGAATGAACAGAAGCCACCTAACATGCAACAACAGAGGGCTGGAGAAATGAATCAGGGTAGTAGCAACGTGCTGTGAATGCCTTCTAACCGTTTAGTCCTCATTTCATCCTCACCAGAATGCTGATTACACAGAAGAATGGTTGGTGTATCAGCCAGCTCGAGCTGCAGTAACAAGTACCACAGACCAGTGTTTAAAACAACAGAAATGTCTTTCCTCACAGTTCTGGAGGCTGAAAGTCCAAGATCAAGGTGTCCAAAGGGTGGGTTTCTTCTGAGGCTTGTGTCTTCACATGGCCTTTCCTCCATATATGTCTGTGTCCTAATTGCCTCTTCTTTTTTTTTTTAGCTGAGCCATCCTGCCACCTGTTGGCAGCTCAGCAGCTGCTCAGCTCGGGCTGGGACTCGAACCACTGTTGCTTAGAGCTCAAACTCTTGAGTGAGCTCTTAACCAACTGCGCCACTCGGCTGGCCCCTAATTGCCTCTTCTTTAAGGACACCAGTCATATTGGATTAGGGCCCACCCCAATGACCTCATTTAACGTTAAATACCTATTTAGAGACGTTCTCTCCAAATATAATCACATTCTGAGGTCTTGGGGCTAAGGACTTTAACATATGAATTGGGGCAGGGAGGGTGGTAAACAATTCAGCCCAGAACCAAAAGAGACAAGCAGGATAGAAACGTTGGCAGTTTAGCTCTGGAGGCTACACTCGTAACCACTAGGCTACAGTGTAACTCATATGGCAGACCGATAGTCATTAAAAATGAAGTCTGCAAAAGGAGTTCAGCATGGAAACGTATACATGAACATTAAATGACTAAACATTAAATGTTTAAAATGCACTAACGTTAAAAACAATGACTCCAAATATGCTCTTTAAGAGTGTGTGTGTATATAAATGGGAAAGAAATATCTCCGAAGGCCAATGTAGTAGATTGAGCAGTATCCCCCCAAACTTATGTCTACCTGGAACCTACGAACGTGACCCTATTTAGAAATAGGGTTAGTTGAGGATCTCATCTCAAGATGACATCATCTTGGATTTAGGGTAGGCCCACCCAAAATCCAAGGAATAGTGTCCTTATAAGAAAAGGAGAAGACAGAGAGAAGATCATGTCCAGACACAGGCAGAGATTGGAGTCATGTAGCTACAAGACAAGGAACGCCAGCAGCCACCAGAAGCTATAGGCAGAGGCAAGGAGGGACTCTTGCTTAGAGCCTAAGCAGGGCCCTCCTGACGCCTGGATTTCAGATGTCTGGCCTCCTGAGCTGTGCGAGAATAAATTTCTGTTGTTTTAAGCAGCTCAGTTTGTGATCATTTGTTATGACAGCACTTGGAAACAAACACAGTTAGCTTATTGATTCACCTCACTCTGACATGAGCACAGAAAATGAGATGGTTTCTACAAAACCAGGGCTCTTTGATGGGGAGAACTGGCCTCACTGGGGCTGGTCTGTGACTGTCACCTGACCAACATGCCTCAAGTTGTCTGGAGGGACGAGGAAAGAAGAAGGTAGAAACAAATCTGGGGTGGGGGTGGGACTCCAGGTGGGCAGAACCATTCGAGCAGAGCTGTAAAGCAGCCAGTCCTTCTCAAAGCCAGGCCGCCGATGAGGCAGAAAACTCAAGTTGGCAGCTAAGTTGCATTCCATACCTTTTTTTTTTTTTTTTTTTTTGGGCCAAAACAGCTGTGGCTCAGCAGGTTTCAGGGCTTGGCAGCCCCACATCTGTGAGCTGCATGCCCGGATTGTAAATGGTTTGGCATCGCAGCCTTGGGAGCCAACCCTGCAGGCAGCTGGAGGTGTGGACTCGGGAAGAAAGGTGAAAGGAGCCTTCTTGCCAAGTGCAGCTACACAAGGTCATTACACAGCCAAGGTGCCCCTCCCCCCTCCGGATCCCGGACAGTGACTGATGGGGGTCTGCCTTTCTGCAAGGAAAAATCTCCACGTGGTGCTCCAACTTAAGAGAGCTCCCAGGCCGATCCTCCTGGAAAGGACACCCTCCCTGAACTGCCCTCATCCCCGTAGAAAATGAGAAGCGTAACTAGCCTTGAAGGCCCCTCAACACTGTCTCAGCTAAGCACATCTCAAGCCTAATAAATCTTTTAACACTTGTCAGAAGACAAGGACATTTAAAAGAACTAAACTAAACATACATCCCCTCTTCTCTTCACAACCCTCCGCCATGTTATTTTGACTGGGGGACAAGGAGGAAAATACAAATCCTTTAATGCAAGTTTTATTAATGGGACTTCCTATTTGCTTCAAGAACTGGGTTTAGTTTTTATACAAAAATTGCTAAAAGAAGGTGGAAAGCGCTCCCATCTCTGGATCGCAATTCTAGAATGTGCTCTCCTCACACACCTAGACGACTGGCATGCGTTCATACCCACACAGACAGACAGACAAACAGACAGACAGACAGAC